AAAGGGAGAGTGACAGCTGTCAAGTTTTTCAAATACTGTACATACACCAGAAACCCATTTCATTCATTCATTCTAAGCAGTTAGCACTCTAAGTCACAGATTTTTACACTTTTTATCTTGAAAATATTTCCAAAAACGTGCATAACAATTTTTAAATAGTCACATAACCAGTCAAGAGAAAAGACCAAAGTTCTCGAGAAAAATCTTGGCTGAGTTTACATTTTCCCCACCCCCTTTTTTTTTTTTACTCTAAAGACATTCCATCTTTGTCTTAAGACAAAGAACCCTGGGTATTAAGAAGGAGGTCCACCCCAGTGTCTACAATCTAGTGTAGTTACTTTTACTTTTCTTCTTGTGTTTTTTCTCTCCTTAGTTTCTTTCTTTGTGTATTATGCTTCACCACTCTCCAGGATTTGTAAACTAGGTTGTCTTTGAAAAAGCAAGGTAGCTTTGACTAAGAAACTTGTTGAATTCCAGGCTTTAGGAGTAATAAGACAGCTTCTGGAGTATAATATTTGCAACATTCAATCTTAAAGAGTGCAGGAGTTTATCTCCCTGAAGGGATTTATGTTTCACAACCTTGATGTTACCCAGTGCAAAAATGCTCAGTTCTGTTGCAAGAATGTGTAACTAAGATCACTCCCAGAATGAGAACAAAGCAACTTAACATTAGTGGAATGCCTATTACAAATGCGGTGTGTGCTAGGTGTTGTTTCATGATGATCTCTTTGAATCCTTTCAAGATAAACCCTGAGCCCCCACTTTCAAACTTATCCTGCCCCATCCTTAGATGCTTTCTCTGTGCTTCCATGTGACATCTAATATTACATTTACCTTATGACAATTGCTTCTAGATAAACCTGTCACCCTCTCTAGACTGTGAGCTCCCTGGGCTAGATATTATGCCTTAATCATTTTATATTGTCGTTGCCCAGCACAATCCTTTTTGCGTAGTAACAATAAATATTATCAACTAAATGATAGTACTCATTTTATAGAGAGGGAAATGAGCTGTAGAGAAGTTAAGTAATTTGTCCAAGGTCACCTAGTAAGTAATTCACAGAGATGTTGATACAAAAACCCTTGAAATTTATAGAATTTTCTCTTTGTTTCTATGTAACATCACTTCTAGCTGCCATTCTATAGCATTTTCATGTAACCATTCTATGTCCTCTATATTGTGTGTTTTATAGACAGTAGAGTGTCTGGGAGAGTTTGGACAATATTGAGGACAGTCATCAGAAAGAATTAAGCGAAAAGACCACAGAATAGCCACAGAAATAAATTCAGTATTTTAATCTATTGTTTTTGTATATATGACTGAAATCTCCTGTAATTATTATATGCTGGTAGCTTTTCTCTTGTGTCTGTGAAAGGTATTATTTTGTTAACATAAACCATCTTTTATTCACTCTCCCCCCAAATTGCAACCCACAGCATAACACTTCAGGAAAGGAAAACTTTGAGGGATCCTCCTATAAACCGCCTAAATTTGTGAGTAGATAAGTTTAACGGAAGAGAATAAAGTTCAGCTTAAACTGGAACTTTTTCTCAGATTCATGTGAGAGATGATGTTCTTTGATCCCCACCATTTAAATACTGATTCTCCAATTTTTTCAAAACTCCTTTAGAAACCTTCATTTTAGAGACATAGTCTCACTTTGACTTATTATATTTTATAGGATTTTGGTATCAGCTATGCTTTTATTTAAAAACCTTTTTTTAACTTTATAATAAAAAATGTTAGTCCAATTTGTATAATTTCACCATCCTAAGGCAGCAACTATTCTTATTTCTTCATGTCTTCCAACTTTTATTATTTATATGTACATATCTATAATGAATTCAATAAAGTTGTAATAATAGCATGCACACACAATTTTAGAAATCACTTTTTTCACTTAAATGTGTTTTTAAAGTCTTTTTATTTCTTTTTGATTACTTTTTATTCTATATAGTCGTATGTATTAGTTCTAGAGTTTCAAAATATATCAATATGCCATAATTTCATTTAATCATTTCTCCAGTTTTAGATGTGTGGGTTCACAGTTTTTCCTACAAACATCTTGGCGTGGTTAGGCCTTATTCTTAAAATATATTGCCAGGAGAAGATGACTAAGTCAAAGGATCCGAACATTTTGTAACTTTAATATACGTTAGCCATTATATTTTTAAATCAATTGAAAATGAGTTTGAAATGAAAGTAAGAATTTCACATTATTTATTTTAAATTCCATTAGTTCTGCTGTTAATATAAAATAAGTGGTCATCCAAAACTTTGAAATTTGCTGAAAATATGCCATTTAATTTACTTCGTTGCAAGAAATAGTAAGCTAACTATTAAAAAGGCATGGCTGGATCCAGGAGTTCTCTTTCCCAATCTTCCCAATGATATATTAGTATCATTCCTTGGTGGGCTTCTTCATAGTAGGAAAATGGCCACTGGTGACCTCAAGCCTACATCTTTAAGATTTATGGCTTCCAAATATAAGATCTCAATGAAGGATTCTGATTATACTTGCTTGTCAAGCCAATCAGAGAAATCAGACTGTTTTTTTTTTTCTATAGGAAACTTACTTTCTTTTTAATTTATGTACTGCATATGGGTTGATGAAGGGACAGGAATTCTAAGCATATAAGACATACATACATATACACACATATACAAAATAAAAATACATGACATTTAGTATGACTTGCTGTGGTTTTTTACCGTTGACTGTAATGGACTACAGTTACTTCATGACCATTCTCTAATATAGGCACCTGATGGAGCGTTTGCAGGAGTGCAAGTGAAATCCACGTTTCTAGAGGCAATTTGATATTGCATACTGAACTCTTAAAAGAGGACTCTAATCAAGAAGGGATGGGGTGTATTCTGGGGCACCCGTAATGTTTTATCTTATGACCTGGGTGGTGCATACACTGTTGTTTACTTTTTAACTTTGTGAAAGTGTATGTGTAAGTTTTATGTACTTTTCTCAATGTTATATTTCACAATTTAAAAACTATTTTAAAATGTACATGCTGTTATTTACTTTAAATATTTCTTTCTAAGCTTAAAAAGAGTGTAAGCAATGATTTTAGAGTATTGATTAGAATAGCAAATTTGAAAACAAAACATCCAATAGTAAGGGTTTGGTAAATAAAGCATAGTATATCTATAGAATGGAACACTGTACATCTTTTTAAAAATTATGTGTACAGAAATATATACTGAGATAGAAGTTGTTCATAACACAAGGGGGGAACCAAATTGCAAAAATTACATTCAGCAAAATCCTTTTTTACTTAAAAGACTATGTAATTCATATATAAAGAAACATTTCTGGAAATATATAAACCAAAGTATTAAGACTTTGTTTTAAGACTAAGTACTTGGGCCGAGCACGTGTCGCACTCAGGAGAGTGTGGCGCTGGGAGCGCAGCAGCACTCCCGCCGCGGGTTCAGAACCTGTGTAGGGATGACCGGTGCGCTCACAGCGCTCACTGGCTGAGTGCGGTGCGGCCGGTCTCAAAAAAGTACAAAAAAAAAAAAAAAACCATTAAAGAAATAAAATGTTTT